TTTTACCTGGTCCTGGGCTCGAGTTCGGATTTGGATTTATGTGCCAGAGTCGGAGCCAGAGCTGTCAAGCCATTACAATTTTAAGGTGAAAGCGGTGTAAAAAGGAAAAGAACAGAAGAAACAGCAAATACAAAAGATGCACAGCAGATGCAAAGGATGGCGAAGGTACCAAAAAGGAATTACCGATAACACATGCACACACACACACACATACATAACAAAAGCAATTCTAAAAGGCGGCGTATGAAATGCTGCACCCCAGTCGCATTGCGTTGTCTAGGCCACGAATTGAGCCAAGGGTGCGACATTGAGTTAGTTCTCTGCATGCCGCCGTCTGCCCAATCATTTACACACGCACACATTCATACATGCAAATGTATAATATGCGTGCATGTATGTGTGCGGTCGGCCGTGTGCATGCTTTCCCTGCCAATGTTGCGCCACTCAAAAGGTCAGCAGAAGGCGGCAATTTCAAGCCTCAATCGGCAAAGTAAAGTTTTATAAAGTTTTCCTCTTTTGCGATTCGTTTGCCTGTTGCCAATTTTGATCGCCTGCTCAATGCATTTTTATTTCGGCACATTTTTTCGAAAACAATTTTTTTTGTATAAGAAAAAGAAAGAGATGTCTATAGAGAGAGATAGAGAGAGAGGAGCAGAGTATGTATGTTTTGCAGGTGATGTGAATTGCCAGCCAAGACAAATAAATAGTAAGTAAAGGCAATTAGAAGCAGGAAGTTTCCTTTCCGTTGGAAAATGTGCACTTCACAACTTACAGGGTAACAGCTATTTACCCACACACTCGCATACATACAGACAAACGAATATGTACATACATATGTGTGTGTGCGCGTGTGTACGTACGAATACAGGGACAACCCCTGAGTGCTCGAATTGCAGCTGCCTGCCGTCTGCTCTATCTGCCTGCTTGCCTTCCTGCCTGCTCAGTCTGTCAGCCTGCTTGGCAAAAGGTTATCGGATCACCAATACACGCACATCAACGCACACACACACGCACACTTTATAGCAATGCATATCGATAATAGAATGAAGTTTGTTTGAATGGAACAGAGGAGTCTTATTTATTCGTTATTGAACTATGTAGTTCTTGCGCAATAGATGTATGAATTTACAATATGTACATAAGTATATATGTATGATACAGATTTAAATTAAAATGTCATAAATAATTAATAAGAATAC